AATTTTTATTCTTCAATTAGAGAAAACATCCAATATTATTTTATATTATCAGCCATGCTGTTTTGGTTCCATTCACTTTCAACATGGAAGGTAGGTGAGATCTGAGCAGCTGGCTGTGGGTTACTCCCCATCTTCCTAAACTTGAGACAACCACACATCTAGTCCAGGACAAGTTGAAAGATTAAAGATGAGAATCCATTGGAAGCCCTTCTGCCAGTAATTTCTGCAGAATAAAGAAATGTGATTGGATACTTTACCTCCTATTGAAATTGATTTTCTCTCACCCTAGGGCTAGAAGTTTATAGTTCTGTCGCACTTTGTGAGACAAAATAAAGATGTCCTCAGAGGCCTGAGTTCTTAGGCTTGGGTCTCCAGTTCTGTGCCCTCAGTAGATCCCTTAAAATTGTAAGTGTCATTGTGAATATACATACTGGTTGTGTGTATCTGCCAGAAGCACCTGAGAACCTTTTTCTGGAGAAAGCTCATAGCTTTCAGCAGATGCTGAGAGGTGTCCCTGACCAGAAAAGGGAGGCGTCATCTGATTGTCTAAATGGAGTCTCAAGATGGTAGGTAGTACCCTGGAGGTGTTACCACACCCAAGGTCTGACCTGTCTGTGCTCATTGCTGTATAATGATACGTAAACCAGGGCTCTAGGATGCTCATTTCCACTAAGGAAGAGCCTTTCCAAGCAGCAGGGGGTTCACCTTCATGTTTTAGGCATCTCTTTCTGTAAGGCAGATAGTGGGAAAGAATATTAATGAAATAAACCCAATTGCCCTATAGCAGGAAACTGCCACATGAGCATCTTTCTCGCCAGGAGGGAGAATTTACTCTGTCTTGCTTGCTATTCAGGCTTTCCAGTTTTCATCCATTTTCCTCTAACTCACTCTTCTTTCAGATGGAGCTTGGTAAAGTAAATGAGCTTTCCATTTTCTTCCTTACAGTCAAATTCTGCTCTATCCTCTGAGATCATACTGAAGTCTATGTGTGAATATCCTACATGCACTTGAGAAGAATATGTATTCTGCTGTTGTTGAGTGGAGTGTTCTATAAATGTCACTTAGATACAGTTGATTGATGCCGATCAGTTCTTCTATTCCTTTGCTGATTATCTACTTGTACCGATTACTGAGGGATGCTGACACCTTCAGCTATTACAATGAATTTGTCTATTTCTCCTTTAAGTTCTGACTTTTGCTTTGCATATTTTGAAGTTCTGTTGTTAAGCACATACACATTTAGGATTACTGTGTCTCCTTAGTAAATTGACCATTTTCAATATGTAGTACCCCTATTAATCTCTAGTAATTTTCTTTGCTCTAAGTATATTTTGTCTGGTATTAGCATAGCCCTTTTTTTTTGATATTAACATAGCTAATCAAAAGTTTTCTTTTGATTAGTATTTGCATGGTATACCTTTTTCCATCCTTTTAATTTTAAGCTACCTATATCATTATATTTGAAGCGAGTTTCTTGTAGATGGCTTATAGCTGGATTTTTTAATTCCTTCTGACAATCTCTATCTTAATTGATGTGTTTAGAATATACACATTTAATGTAATTATTGATATGCTTTGACTGAGATCTATCATTTTATTATTTGTTTTCTCTTCTTTCCCTCTATATTTTTTTGTTCATTTATTTCCCCTTTCCTGCCTTCTTTTGGGTTATTTGAACACTTTTTAGAGTTCAATTTTTATTTATTATGATTTTTCACTATATCTCTTTATATAGTTTTTTAAGGGTTGCTGAAAGGATTGCAAAGTATATAGTTAACTTTTCACAGTCTATCTAGATCCAATATTTTACCACTTCCATTAGTAATCACCTCTTTATGCTATAGTTTTCTTTACATACATATGCTAAAAATCACATCAGAAAATGTAATTTTTGCTTTCAACCATCAGAAATATTTTAAAGAACTAAAGAGAAGAATAGTCTATTATATTTGCTCATGTATTTATTATTTCTATTGTTCTTCTTTCATTCCTTATGTTCCAAGCTTCCTTTTGGTATCATTTCCCTTCTGTCTGGAGAACTTCCTTTAGCAATTCTTTTAGAGCAGGTCTGCTGGCTATGAATCTCTTAGTTTTACTTCATATGAGAATATCTTTATTTCACTCTCATTTTTGAAGAATATTTTCAATTAATATAGAATTCTAGGTTGATGCTTTTTTCATACAGCAAATTAAAAATGTATCATTTCCTTCTGACCTTCATGGTTTCTCATGAAAAGTTGATGATCATTGAAATCATTATTCTCCTATATGTAGTATATCATTTTTCTTTCACTGCTTTCAAGGATTTCTATTTGACTTTAGTTTTCAGAACTTTGATTACAATGTACCTGGGTATAGGTTTCTTTGGGCTTATCCTGTTTTGAGTTTGCTCAGCTTCTTGGATCTATAATTTTGTGCTTTTCACCAAACTTAGGGAGTTTCGAGCCATTACTTCTTCAAATATTTTTTGGCCCTATATTCTTTCTCCTCTTCTCCAGGAATCCCATGACACATATGTTAGCCCTTTTGTTGTTGTTTCACAGGTCCCTAAAGCTCCATCCATTTAAAAAAAATTTTTTTTCTGTTGTTCAGATTGGATAATTTCTATTGATCTACCATCAGGTACACTGACTCTTTCCTCTGTCATCTCTTTTCTGTTATTGGGTCCGTCCAGCAAGGGGTTTGTTTTTTTTTTTTTTTCTTTTCTTTTTTTAGTTATTTTATTTTTCAGTTCTAAAATTTTCATTTGGTTATTCTTTATGTCTTCTACTTCTTTGCCAATATTTTCTTTTTTGAGTTTCGTTTCAAGACTGTTTACAATTGCTCACTTCAGCTTTTTTTAATAAGAACTGCTTTAGCCTTTGTTAAATAATTCCAACATCTGTGCCATCTTCTTTTCTGCGTCTGTTGCTTCTTTTCCTATACAAGTTGAGATTTCATGCTTCTTTGTGTTGCCAAGTAATTTTGGATAGTACCCTGGACATTCTGACTGTTATGTTTTGAGACCCTGGGTCTTGTTTAAATCCTATAGAGAATGTTTATATATTTGTTTTGGTAAGTTATCTGTATGTGTAGGTTCAGACCACAAGTTCCAACTTGCTTTCCATTAGGTGCCATTAGGATCCGTCCCACATGTGTGCCACTTGGTGGTCATTCTGAGACTTAGAATGAGTTCTACCCACTGCTATATTCTCAGTCTTTGGTATGCTAATCAGAATCCTATCCATGCATGTACAAATAGAAGATGAGCCCAGGAGATCATAGATAGCTTTATGGGGTTGCATTCCTGAGCAACATTCCTCTTCACTGTCCACAGATACTTTCCAGTTTCCTGGAGCTCTCCTTTCATTACTCCAGTCAGAAACCACACATCTCTATGACTATGCTGCCCCCAAGGCCAAGTGGCAGGAGGACAAAAAAAGGCAGAACATAAAAGCAAGTGTTTGGCTCTGCCCTTTTGGAGTTGGTAGCTTCATTAAATGGAGAGGAATGTCCACTTCCCTCAGAGTTTTGATTCCTGTTGTTTCCTGTTGCTGGCCACTCTCTGCTGTTGCTACCCTTGCTGCAGAATTGCCTACAGACTGGTGCATGAGAGAATGGGGAAAAAAGAGTGAAAAATAACCAGATTTCTTCCACTCTCTTTGAATCTCAGAAGTTTTCTTTTCTGCTCCTTGAGCCAGATCTAGAGGGTTTCTCTTGGATCTCTGTCTATCTGCACCACAGTGCTCACTTCCAAGTTTCAAGCTGTATTGAGTTCAGGCTGGGGCATACTGAAGGGTAAAATGGAGAACTCACCACCAATTGGGTGATACTTCAAATTCTGGTGTTGTTCCCTGAGCTGCCTGACATTTACTTTTCAGAGTTCTCAAATAGCTACACCATGCATTTTGTGTAGGTTATATAGTTGTTCTCAGTGGGAGAAAATGAGGTTGGTTTAGATGTACTTCTTATCTGGAACTAGAACCTCTCTATGTAGTTGGAATTTGCATTATAAGCAAGGTAGTTGTCATTTAAAAAATATAGAATCCAGATTAGGATTGTATAAATTCCTTGGTTTAATCATGGAAAGGAACTCTGGTGAGAAAACTCAGTGGTCTTTGGGTTTTGTAGGCACCATGGCTGAGGAAACAGCCCCGGCAATTCTGGAGCGGCACCAAGGGTCCCTGTACTCCCTCTTTCCGGACCACCATGTGGAAAAGTACTTTGACCAGGTGGACATCTCCAACGGTTTAGATTGGTCCCTGGACCACAAAATCTTCTATTACATTGACAGCCTGTCCTACTCCGTGGACGCCTTTGACTATGAACTGCAGACAGGGAAGATCTGTATGTACTTTTTCATTATTTTTCTTAATACTGCTCATAGTTTTTTCATATGTATGTCACTAGTAAGCTTCCTCTCCCTCAACTCATGTGAAAAGGTCCTTATTTTGTCAAATTAGAGAGCTGTTGTTATTATCCCAGTGTAGTAATGATTACAGAGTTGACAAAGCTGCCAGTCAACACATGGCTCTCAGCACAACTAAATGTGGCCAGAGTTGGCATAATATGTATAGATCTTTAATCCTCTTTCTTGCCACCATCACTAGAAAGAGGCTCACTGTACGTTTTACCAGGAGGTACCTAAAGGCAAATAATATACAACAGAATGGGATAAAAGAACAGAAGATTAGAATTTTGGGTTGATATATCTTTTTTTTTTTACTTTAGTTAACTGTAGTTAAGTGTTCAGAGACAAATTTACAACCTTTCAAAATGGAAAAGTATAAAAGGCAGTTACAGACTGTTCGACTCTTATCAATGCCCTCTAAATGAGCCATAGTTGAAAATAGGGAAGTAATTATTGAGAATTTAGAAGGGAGTATTTGAAACTGTTTCATGAAAGGTGCCAATCCATAAAAATAAAACCAATAATAAAAATGGCTTAAAAAAATCACAAGACTCTTGTGTAAATGTAATCAGAGACAAAACATTCCAGTAGAGATGTTTTGCTTTAAATATATGTAATGCTCTTTTTATGAGTGTTTTTACCCATTTTACTTATCATCGTTTTAACATTTTTTCTACCATACCTCAACTCAGTTACTGTTGACCTGGATTTGATAGTGTAAAGTTCCTCTGGATTTTGATGTTTCTTTTTTGTATACTATGATTCTCCCCCGCTTTAAGGCCAGCCAGTTGGCTTCAGAATACCCCTCCTTTCAGAATGGAGCTCTTCTAATGTTTAGTTTTAATAAGGTGATTTTGGAGCATTTAGTCAGGCAGAAACAGAACTCTTATATATTACTAGTTTTTGTGCATGAGTTGGTCACATGGAACTGTAAAGTTGCCTTCTAGATCATAGAGTTAATCAAAGTAAGCATTTTTGTAAGTAAAACATCAAAGGTCTAACCACAGACTGAAGTGTATCTAAGGTGGGCATGCAAGGCTTCAGTTTAGGTCAGTCTCAAAAAAATCTATTGGTATTTTACTAAGAATTTGCTTTCTTTTTTTCTCTCCTCCTCTGGAAGCTTAGATAGACATGTCTGTACCCAAACTAAAGGGAATGACTCCACCCCAAATCATGTGGTAAAAGTCCTTTGTGCCCACAGACAAGACCTTGGATAAGCAGAAGTGATCAGTATTTATAATCAGCTTGATCGCTCATTGTTTGATGCTCAGTATTGAGTGGCCTGTTGTTTTGGTGTGCTTGTGCGTGCATGTGCATGTGTGTGTGTGAGTGTGTGTTTTGTTTTGTTTTGTTTTTAACCATAGGCAACCGCAGAAGTGTTTACAGGCTGGAAAAAGAAGAACAAATCCCAGATGGAATGTGTATTGATGCTGATGGGAAACTCTGGGTGGCCTGTTACAATGGAGGAAGAGTGATTCGTTTAGATCCTGAGACAGGTAGGCCCACAACACAATGGAAAATCCCTGCCATATCTTGAAAACACCAGACACTAGGGACTGGAGACATTTCATTACTAATAAAGTTAGACAGCGATATATTCAAAGGTCTCAATTAAATTATTTTGGAAATAAAGGCCAAAGATATGGCCCCAAATTTATAGTCAGTACTTCTTTTCCTGTGGAGGTAAGTCTTTTTGCTCAAAATAAATAAATTGTCAGGGAAGGTAGGTTAAATACATGATCACAATCTGACCTCCACCACTCTCTCTGAACTTTCCTATTACTCTGCAAGAGGTCCTGAAAGCTTTCTCAGGTTGGAAATTTGCTAGAAGTAGACTTTAAATAAAATATGTGGTGCTCTAGGGAAAAGACTTCAAACTGTGAAGTTGCCTGTTGATAAAACAACCTCATGCTGCTTTGGAGGGAAAGATTACTCTGAAATGTATGTGACCTGTGCCCGGGATGGAATGGACCCTGAGGGGCTTATTCGACAACCTAAAGCTGGTGGAATTTTCAAGGTGATCTTGCTATTTCTTTTCTTTTACGGGTGAAGTGGGAGATCCTTTGTTAAGTAACTAAGTGACCCGTGCTTTTTCCTACTTCCAAAACTTAATTCTATTTAACATTTTAAGCTCATCATGCTACACTTAAAAACAGTTTATTTAGATTTTTCTAAACTGGAAGTTATCTGAAGTCCAGGACAATATGTTTAGCCTCCTTTGTACAGTACTTTAATTTTTTTTTTTTTTTTTTTTTTTGCTTCAGTAGCGTTTGCTGAAATTCTATAAATCATTAGAATGGGCTTAGGAAAACAGTAATTGAAACATGTTTATAAGATTAGTTGATTGTCTGATGTCACAAGAATATTTTCAGGTTTTTAACTTTTTTGCAATAAAGCAAACACCAATGAAAATTATAGACCTTTTGAGCTAAAAAGAAATGTAGAAATCATCTGGCTCAAACCCCTTTTTTAACAGCTGGGAAGATGATAGAAATAAATTCAGTTTTAAATCCATGTTAGTTGCAAATGTTTGCCATTTGGATTATTATCTGTGTGAATAATCGGGTTAGACCATAAGTACTTAATCAAGCAATTCCTTTTTGTGATAGGAAATAAAACAAGAATAATAGGTGGCTAAGTACATAAGATGAATCATAAAAATGCTTTTGAAAAATACTCATGAATTACCTTTTATCACAGTTTCTCTCTTTCCTTTTTTTTTTTTAAACAGATAACTGGCCTGGGGGTCAAAGGAATTCCTCCTTATCCTTATGCAGGATAAGTCACAGGCCTTTTTTGCTACTAGAAGAAACTTTGAAGGCAACTAGAAAATTCTGAAGCTGATATTTCAATCCACTTACAAAAAAATTGAGGCAATAATATTATAACAGGGTTCAATGTTTATTTACAATTTTTAAAAGGTAGAGGTTTTTAACAAAGGGTGACAGGTGGGTTTGATAACACACTATAAGGCCTTCTGCAAAGGTACTATAGAAGGTCAAGAATTGTTCAACTGTCAACCAGCCTCTTGATTCTTTGCAAATTACTGGTGGAAGTGGGGAGAAGAAAGGGATTGTATCTGTTCTTTAATCTATATTCCATACTTATTATACCTAAAGCTTCAAAAAACTAATAAATAGTAATCTGGTAATGACATTGTGATTAGGTTCCTTTTCATTTTCATCATAATCTTATAAAATATGCTACAACACTAACCTAATACTTTCATATTACTCTTTCTATATATTATTTTACAAATTAAAATATTGCTAGAGGATACGAATTAAATACTTTGGCAAAATCCATGGTTCCAAATTCCACCCAATGGATGCAAAAGTAATATATCACTTTGGAAAGAATATTTTTTAAAAATAGCTTTATTGAGTTATAATTGACCTATGCATATTTAAAGTATACAATTTGATACATTTGGCATAATGTATATGTCATATACATTATAACATATATGTATAAAGACATGTGTATATGTATATACATACATTAATGAAAACATCACCATAAGCAAGATAATAAATTTATTTACTATCTCAAGACTTTCCCTGTATCCTTTAGTAATCCTTTCCTTTGGTCCCTCTATATGCCTGCCCCCATCCCTAGGAAACCACTGATCTGGTATCTATCATGATAAATCAGCCTTTAGAATTGGCTAGCATGATTTCTGTTTTATATGTTCTTTTTGAAATTGTTTTAGCTGTTATAGTTCCTTTGACTTTCTATATAAATTTTAGAATAGGCTTGACTATATCTAGAAAAAACCTGCTGCAATTTTAATTGGAATTGCTTTAAATCTGTAGAATAATTTAGAGAGACTTGGTATCTTTATTGAGTCTTATAATCCATGAAAACAGCATGTCTTTCCAATTATTTGATTTCTTTTTTTTTCCAATTGTAGTTGGTATACATTCTTCAATTTCTTTCATCAGTATTTTGTAGGTTTCAGCATACAGATCTTGTACACATTTTGATAGATTTATATCCAAGCATTTCACTTTTTGGAGCTATTGTAGATATTATTTTTAAAGTTTTTGTTTCCAATTGTTCATTGCTCATTTGTGAAAGTATGTTTGGTGTTTGTAAGTTGACCTTGTATCTGATGACTTTGCTAAACTCACTTAATAGTTAATAGTTCTAAGAGTATTTCTGTAGCTTCTCTGGGATTCTTTGGTTATATAATCACATCTTCTGTGAATAAAGACAGTTTTATTTCTTCCTTTCCAATATGCATATTTTTATTTCTTTTTCTTGCCTTATTGCACTGACCAAGACTGTCAGAACTATGTTGAAAAGAAATAGAAGAGTGGGTATCCTTGCTTTGTTTCCCAATCTTAGGAGAAAAGCATGCAGTCTTTCTTCATTAAACATGATATAAGCTGTAGGGTTTGTCTTTTTGTTTGATTGTTTTGGTTTTTTTTTTGGTAGATGCCCTTCTTTAGGTTGAGAAAGTTCTCTAGTCTAATGTGCTGAGAGTTTCATATTATTATTATTGTTTGGTATGTATTTTATCAAATGCTTTTTCTGCATTTATTGATATGATCATGTAGTTTTTCTTCTTTAAATGTTGCTATAATAGATTTTTTGCATTAGCAGGATAAACCACCCTTGGTGGTAGTGTATTACTCTTTTTAAATATTGCTGGATTCAATCTTTTAATATTTTGTTGAGAATTTTTGCATCTGTGTTTATCAAAGATATTGGTCTCTAGTTTTCTTTATTTCTCCTGTCTTAGTCTGCTGTTGATATCAGGGTAATATGAGTTAGGAAGTATTCCCTCCTTTTCTATTCTCTGGAAAAGACTGTGTATATTTATTATTATTTATTCTTTAAATATTTGACAAAATTCACCAGTGAAACCATTTGTAACTGGATATTTCTTTTTCAGAAAGTTTTTAAACTTTCCTTAGTAATTATGGGGTTACTCAGGTTATATATTTACAGTCTACTTTGTCCAGTTTTCTTTTGGTTCCTGTTCGCATGGCATATATTTTTCCATCCTCTTACTTTTACAGTACTTATTATATCTGAAGTGAGTTTCTTCTTTTAATTCAGTCTTCTTTTTTTAAAAGCGCTAAATCTCAGGACACCCCCAAATTGGGATGACTAGTTATCTTATACACCCTGCATATTTGATCTCATGAATTTTTTTTTAATTTCACACACACACACACACCCCTTTGGCAATCAAGGGAGTTCAGAGAGCAGCAGGGCTGGAATGGGAGGTACCCAAGGCTCCAAGGAAGATATAGACTATCAGGAGACTAGGGATGATCTGAAGCACAGAATAAGGCACCTTCACCCCACTCCTTCCACTACAGCTGGCTAGCCATCTTACCCAGTCAATTCCATGTAGTAAGAGTGGTGGAATGGCTGAGGAGCTCCAAGGACCAAGATAGAGTATTCTGAGGACTTTGAGGAGGAAATCCCCTGGAATTTCAGGTGACCCAGGCCCCCAGAGTGGCTCCGCTACTCTCTCCAGCACCCCTGGACCCAGAACCTCAACTAGCGGGATCCAGGTTCTAGCCTCCTTCCCTGGTGGTGGAAGCCTCTTGCATGACAAATATTAAACCCCCTGCACTACCTGAGTCTTTTCTAGCCAATTTTCCAAATGGTATTTAGTCAACCAAACTTCTAAAAAGACATCTGCTTGACAGCAAATCAAGACATCTGGTCAACCTTCTGAACCTAGACTTAAGGTCAACCCCCAAATCAGAACATCTTGTCAAGCCATGAAGCAGGCCATCTGGTCAATATGACTTACCAAAAGCACTCTGCCATTATCCCTGAAAGTCTCTGCACATTTCTTGCTGAGCATGCCAAGAACGCAAGGCCCTGACCACTCTAAATTGGCCATTTTTCAGAGTTGTGTTTTTAGCAAGCTTCCTTGAGAAATGAGATAATATTTCCTTCCAGACAAGAAGCAGGCTTGTTACTGCTCATATAAGAGCAATCAATCCCTCACATCAGTATTCCTCTCCTAACACAACCCACTATGTGTACAGGCATGCATCTAGGCCCACCAATATTACCTCCTTGGAGAACCAGCTCAATGTCTTGCTGACACTCTGGCTACTGCTTTTGCTGTGAATAGTAAAGTCCTTTATCTCTGACCCAAGAGTCTCTTGTCTTCTGTTTGCATCCATGAAACGGGATAGCTTGTTATATTACAAATATGGTAAAATCACAGACCCTTTACACTTCTGGACATTGACCTGTACCCATCAGACACTAAGTCCAAGGTCCTTAGGTCAGCCACTAACACCAGACTCCTTGTATCAAGCACTAAATCCTATCTTTCCTTCTGCCAAATACCAACTCCCAACCTATGCAGCCAACACTACCTCCCCATTCACCCTCAAGAGGCTAACTCCACACTAATAGCCCTAGAACCTACCTCGTACTTTTTACTTCAGAGACTAAGTTCCAACTTCTCCCTCAAGAGACTGTCTTGACCTCCTCTGCCAGAAATCAAGTTGAGACCTCTGCCTCAAAAGGATAAATCCTAACTTGTGCTATGAGCAACTAGGTTCCCCAATTCCCCCTCCAAAGGCCAAGTCCCAATTTCAGCTTCAGAATCTAAGTCCCCATTTAGCCCTGAAATGAAGTCTCCAATTTTCACTGCAGATGCTAAGTCCCAACTTTTACAAGTAGTCACCAAAGCTGTCCAGTCACCTGACCTCAACAGAGCATTTTATGATATCATTTCTCAATATCGTTTCTCATGCAGAGGAGAAAGGAGTGGAGAGAGACCGGCAGAGGTCGACCCTGGAGCCTTCCACAGAGGGTACAGAGTCTTTTTAGAAATGATCCTAGGGAAACCAGGGACAATAAGCAACCCTGAGCAGGACCTTCCAACCCTCTGTGGCTGGTTGGTTTTTAGATAGTGACCCGGGCACCTGGAAGCCCCATTTCTTGGGTATAGGAGGTTGAAGAGCAGTGAAACTGATGTGGGATGACCTCAGGAGCAAACAACGAGGGTGCAGAGGCCTTTTAGGAAGGGCCCACTGGAGAAAAGGGATGAACCCAAATGCCAGCACATGCTACCCCAACAGTTGGCTAGATACACAGACTAAACCTGGGCACCCATCTTTTGTGCAGGAGAGGAAAGAGATAATGAGAATGGCACAAGTCATCTTCAAGGTTCTCCCTGGTGAATGCAATGGCCTTTCAGGAGGGGCACTACAGGACCTGGAGAGATCCAAAGCCCCAGGTGATGCCCTCTTTGTATCTAGCTGGTCTTCCAATAACTAACAGGGATCTATGACCCAGTTTATCATAAGGGAGAGGTTGAAGAGCAGTGGAATCCCATGGGATGACCCCAGGGGCCAAGGTAAAGGGTGAACAAATCTTTCAGAGGAAACTTCCATAGAATGGGGACTTTTGGAAACTTCATCTAAGCTCCACTCTCTTTAGCCAGGTAGCCACTTGACATTGTCATTCTGATGACATGGTCTGGAAGGTTGATTGATTTATTCAGCTTGACTCTGGAATCTGGATTGACTTGCTTGGCTCCTGTGGGTCTCCACACAGGGTGCAGAGGACTTTTAGGTCACTTTGAGGCACCTAGCTCTTTGGAGACTTCCACAGAGGATAGGCTTGCTGGGCCCTGGGTTCCCACTCTGTGACCAGAAGGACCAGCACCAGAAGCCTCTGGGGCCTCTGCAGAGGGTATAGAGGTCTTTTGGAGGAATGCCCTGACATTCAGGGTTGGTCCCTACCTCCAGACCAAACTTGTCCAACTGCAGGAGATTAATCATGCTACTGCAACCTAGTGGCCTCTTGCCTTGGTTATCAGCTGGGAGAAATCAGATAGCATCTGGAATGACTGGATGAGCCCCTACGGGTCTCTGCAGTGGAAGAAGAAGTCTTTTAGGTAGAATTTTAGCAGACAGAAGCCATATGAAACCCAACACTGTGCTTCCAACCTGCAGATAGCTAACTGTCTAATACAGTCTTTGTTGTTCTCTGATCCCCAATCTTAACCTGGAGAGGTCAAGAAGAAGCAGGATCATCAGCATCGGGAGCACCTAGGGACCTATGCAGAGGATGCAGAGGTGAAGGACATCTCTGGGAATTCCATGGAGGCTAACACAGAGTGTTCAGAGACTTTTTAAAAGAGGCCTACTGTGGAACTGGAGT